TATGGTACATATCTATTGAGAACCAAGAAAAAAAGAGCACAGGAACATTTAGAAAAACTTCTAGTTTTTATTTTAGTAAGAACAAGGAACAGTAAGAATTAGTCAACAATGCGTGTTAAATTATAATGGTAATTGATTAGGAAGTGCGAATTGTTACTTGATGAAGTGGATAAACAACAAATATAAATAACTAAACAATGATCATCGTGTCTAGTCACAATAATAAAAGCAGACATTTATCGTCCTCCATCAGCAAAAATACGCCACTGTACGTTTTGATTTTTACATTGTTTGCTTAGAAAACAAAGTTTTTTATTCAAAAATTAGAAAAAAAACATGATAAACAGACAGCTTGTTTTAGATGCTGATCTAACTCAAAATGCATGGCTTATGTCTGTTTCACACAGGCAGATTCTATAAACTTTTTCAACCTTTAATGGATGCCTACTTCAACTACGTAGTAGTATTCAAGTGCTATTGAAAAGTTGTTAGCCTTCTTCTCGTTTATATATATATATAAGTGATTCTGGTGTTTATTGTACCTTTTCGGTATCAAAAGCGGCCTTGCTTATTTCTCAGTTTTTGTTTGGTCAAATTGGTCGAAAATTATATTGAAGTATCTATCGATCATGCTCTATATGCACTGCTAAAATCATGCTTCTATCTATTACTGTTTGCGAACAGTATGGAAAATCATCTAAATTTTTCTCATTTTTCATGTGTTTTCATGATGGTTCCTCATGCATTTTTTTCTTTCTTCTTTTTGTTTTAGCTTGAATTAAATAAGCAAAGGGCGTTTAATTAGCTTTCTTGCAGCATTTTGAATGCTCTTTCTACTCATAGTCTCATTTCAAGTCCAACTATCTTCATTTCATAAAAAAATGAATTTTTGTTAGTGGTTCCAGAAAAAGTGAAAAAAGTGTCCCACCCTTTTTGACCCTACTGTAAAGCCAATAAACGTTTTAGACCAAATCTTATTTTATAAAACGGTTCAGCAATCTAGTCACTATCTATTGCTGAAAACCACAAATTACTAACTCTTCTCATTATTGAATAATTTACATTTTGCTAGTTTTCACTGGAGTGCGACATACAATTTATCCCACCCATGTCGCCTATGTCCTGGCCAAACTACAAACAATCAAGCCTGATTTTTTATCAGAAATATCAATCGCTTGGCACAACTCAAGTTACAAATACCAAAGCTCTAGATCGTTTCTAAAGAACATAACCTGAAAATACAGTGAAATGTCTTTTCACTACTATTAGTTTGTAATATTCCGTCCATTACTTGAAAATTTGAATATATTATTGTTATGACCTGTGTAAAAACACTAGATCACATTGTCGTAGATGTGTATCTTTTCTTGTTCGTCTCTTTTGTCTCTTTGTTCTTTTATCCTCTTTTCATTTTTTTTCCAATCGACTGAGATGTATAGCCGTCTTTTTACACACAGAAAAAGAACGGATTTTTCGTTATATGTATATTTACGTGCAGTTATTATATTTTCAAGAGAAGAGTAAATAAAATTAAGATCATCTTAACAATTGTTGAAATTCAACTAAAATTCTACACTATTTATTTCTTCTCATAAGAATCAGCTGACCAAGTTGATTATTTGAAAATCTTTTATGAAAGCTGATTTTAGGAGAATGATTCTTACAAAAACCAATTCGTGTTCCATAATCATTTAACTTTAATTAGTTGTAACCAATGTGGGAACATTTAAAGACGCAAAAGATTTACTCCAAGGAATTGAAAATCGAGTTAATTTGAAATTATCTATTTATGAAACGGAAAATATTCAACAAGTTAAGAAAACTTTACCAAAATTAAAATCTATAAAAGGAACCTTCGAGTTTACATGAAATGTCAGCGACTAAACAAGGTTTGTTGGTTGATAAAAACATATCAAGTGATACAGATATATTAACAAGTATCGATTTTTTTATTTAAACATTTTCTTAGTTTTTTCATTCATTTATTTTTTTGTTTGTATAGCGAGCAGTTTAAAAAAAATCATTGTGTAGTTTTATTTGAAGAACGAAAAACGTATAATATTCTTCTGATACGGATAGACTGGCAACTTGATTATGAAAGCTGAATCAAATTTTCCTCTTATATAATCAATTTTTTATGCTTTTTTTAAATCAATTTCTGTTCAAATAAGCGAAATATTTTTACTTACTGAATTTCTACAAATTTTCTGATTTCTACATCTAACGAAAAAACTGGTAGTTTGAAAAACCACTTTTTCTTATACTTCGAAGTATTCTCTATCTTCTGATAATACTTTTAAGTACAACTCTTTACTTTTTTTTTCGGTCATTTTTTCAAAAAAACGGTACAATAGACACCAGAATTACTTATATATACAGTGGGTCCCAAAATTGTTCAACAAGGTGTAGTTTGGATTTTTTTTTTGTAGCCTTAAGTGCTAGAAAGAATCCAAATGGCGATTTGAATAGAGAATATTGTTGTCAACAAGAATTTGAGAAAAAGATAACCGTCATGAATTTTTCTAAAATAGGTTTTCTGGAAAACCAAAACCCTGGTTTTTCAACATCCAGAAGCCGCAATAGGAAACTTGTTTTAACAGTCTAAAATTATACAGCAGCTAATTTTCTACAAAATGAGACGTATCTGAGCATTCTACGACCTTCCCTTCAAAAGTTATAAGCGTCACAAAAATCGAAAAAATGCGTTTTTTAGTCGATTTTCTCATAAATTTCACTTTTTTTTCGATTTTTGTGACGCTTATAACTTTTGAAGGGAAGGACTTAGAAAGCTCGGCGACGTCTCATTTTGTAGAGAATTGGCTGCTGTATAATTTTAGGCTGTTAAAATAAGTTTTCTGTTGCGGCTTCTGGATGTTGAAAAACCAGGGTTTTGGTTTTCCAGAAATCCTATTTTGGAAAAATTCATGACGGTTATCTTTTTCTCAAATTCTTGTTGACAACAATATTCTCTATTCAAATCGCTATTTAGATTCTTTCTAGCACTTAAGGCTACAAAAAAAATCCAAACTATACCTTGTTGAACAATTTTGGGACCCACTGTATATACTCTAATTACAGATGAAGCTATGATGCATTTCGTTTTCTTTTATTCTTATCAAATTTATCATTAAAATATCTCTCTTTTCTGTTGTAGTCTTATACATATTTTCTTCATTAATTCTTTGCTGACCGTAATAAATTAGGAATTTCGACCGAATCACATTCATGATCTTACAACAAATGTATTAACATGCACGAACAAGAGCGATAATAATTAGTTTCATTTTATCCTTTTGTTTCTTTCTATTTTTTTAATATACATATGATAGTAAAAATTAATTCAGAGAAGTATTTCTTAGACAGACCTAGTCAGATTAATCTGTGTACATTTGTTGTCCTTATCTGTATGGTATTTTTTCATAGTGTTTTTTGAACAGGGACACACAGTAAAACCTCGATTAGTGAACACTGTCTTACTGTAAGCTTGAATATTTTTACATGAACACACGAGTACTTTTCTTCTCTGTTTGTTCTTAAGTATTTCTGGTTAATGCACTAAAGCTGCTGTTTCATTGTTTATTATAACTGAACGATAGCAATGGTCCATCACACAATGGAAATTAGCTGAAAAATCGCATATGTCATTTTGTTCTGTATCCAATGTTTAAAACGAATATTTCCATCATTATCGAACAAACGAAAATCGATGTATTAAACGAAAACACAATTCTTGGCGTTATAAAACTTAATAAATTGTACAAAAAACGTTTTTTTTTCTAATCCGCATATAAAGAGACTACAAAATAAATACGGAATTTTGTGCAAAAAAAGTGAAGATTTAAAATCTGTTGAAAAATTTTGGAATTCATAAATATATTCAAATGAAGGACAATGAACTTTAGGGAGAGCGTAACATCTCCCATAGATTGAATATCTCTCACTAGTGAACAGATTTCAAAAGTCTCGACGGTGTTTATTTAAGAGAATTTTTACTAAATTTTGTTTCATAACAAGATATGAATAGTTATATCTTTGTCTTTATTTTTATTGATCAGTCCTTGACTATGATGGCATTTTGCTATCTAGAACAAAGTTTCAACAGATGCTTTGTCATTGAAAACAAGATATTTATTTGTATTATGTGAAATAAGATCTCAAAGGAGTGTTGAAATATAGAGGTAAAAGTTCGGATACTCCACAGATCATGATAGACGTTGATATACGATCACAAGCAGCATATTAATAATGTCTCTTTATAATAAATGAATTACGTCCTTAATTCATTTCTGGAGGATTAAGAGGGTGGTGAAGAAATATGTCCAAAAATAGATAGAATACAACAATGTCCTTGTAATTAGCAACAGCAGCTGCATTGTGCTTCATATTTTAATCCTGTAGAGATTGCACGAACAGCTTGTGTTTCATTTTGGAAAATCAGCTCTTACGATATTCAATTCATGTATTTAGAAACCAATCAACGGATACCAATACTTATGAAGGCAAATTTCAGTTCTATTTAAACAAGCTACCATCTCAAATTCAGAAGATTATGAATAAACTATTCCTTTCGTCTTTTTTTGTGAAATAAATATTCTTTTTAATAGAAAAATCATTGAATTCTATTACAAAAATGACATCACAAAGGATAGAAAATTTTGTTTCTTTTTTCAAATATCATTATCTTTTATTTTCTTAATGACATTTCCTTTTTTGAAAAATGAAAAGAAAAAAAAATGTTGTTCGATAGAGGGCGCTAGTATTTATTTGCAAGCTAATAAACCACTCCAAAGAAAAAACTAATCGACCTGAATAATGGCGAAGCAAATGAGTCATTCAATCAAAAAAAGAAAAAAATATTTCATTCAATAGTATAAACGAGTGTTGCTACTGATTGTTCTATTTCTATTTTAGTCGCCAGCTGTTGTATTTATTCTTTTGATTTTTTTTCTTCTTTTAGATATTCTATTCATTTTGTTTAATACTGAAAAGAACAAAGTTCAATGGCAGCTGATGAATGTAATATTCGAGTTGTTGCGCGTTTTCGTCCATTGAACGATGCTGAAGAACGTGCTGGCAGTAAAAGTGTTGTTAAGTTTCCAGCTGATCAAGAAGAAACTGTTCTTATTAGTGTATGTTCTCTATAATTCTATTTTCTCATTGAAATAGTCATTGATTCTTTTTTTTTTCTTCTAGGGAAAAGTTTATATATTTGATAAAGTATTTCGCCCTGATGCAACACAAGAAAAAGTTTATAATGAAGCTGCTAAAGAAATTGTAAAAGATGTACTTACTGGTTACAATGGTACTATATTTGCTTATGGACAAACATCAAGTGGCAAAACTCATACAATGGAGGTTAAATAACTTTTATTTTGTTGTTTTTTCTTCTAGTTCGATTTATTTGTTTTTTTTTGTTAGGGTGTGATGAATAGTAATGATCATCAGGGTATTATTCCACGAATTGTGCAAGATATATTTAATCATATTTATACATTGGATGCTAATTTACAATTTCAAATAAAAGTTTCTTATTTTGAAATTTATCTTGATAAAATTCGTGATCTTCTTGATGTATCTAAAACAAATTTAGCTGTACATGAAGATAAAAATCGTGTTCCTTATGTTAAAGTAAGATAAAAAAAAAAGACCTATCATTGAAATATATAAATTAAATGTAATTTTTCTTTTTAAAATAAAAATAGGGTGTTACAGAAAGATTTGTTTCATCACCTGATGAAGTTTTTGAAATTATGGAAGAAGGAAAAAGCAATCGACATATAGCTGTAACAAATATGAATGAACATAGTTCACGTTCACATTCAGTTTTTCTTATTCATGTTAAACAAGAAAATGTTGAAAATGAAAAAAAATTAACAGGAAAACTTTATCTTGTTGATTTAGCTGGTAGCGAAAAAGTAAGTTGAAATCAATTATTTGTTTTCGTAAATATACTTGTTATTTTCAAGGTTTCAAAAACTGGTGCCGAAGGTCAAGTACTGGATGAAGCAAAAAATATCAATAAATCATTATCAGCACTTGGCAATGTTATTTCAGCATTAGCTGATGGAACAGTATGATTTTATAAAAATTTCTTTCTAATAATTAACTATTATTGAAAATTTAGAAATCTCATGTACCTTATCGTGATTCAAAATTAACACGTATATTACAAGAGTCTCTTGGAGGAAATGCTCGTACAACAATAATTATATGTTGTTCACCAGCTAGTTATAATGAATCCGAAACAAAATCAACATTAGAATTTGGCAAAAGGTTGAAAACTGAAAGAAAAAAAAATTTATTTTTGTAAATATAATTTTTCTTTATACTCTAGAGCGAAATGTATTAAGAATTCAGTTACTGTTAATGAAGAATTAACAGCTGAAGAATGGAAACGACGTTGGGAAAAAGAACGTGAAAAAGTAGCAAGATTAAAAGGTCAATTAAGTCGAGCCGAAATGGAACTTGAACGATGGCGATGCGGTAAATTGTTTTTTTTTTTATTTCAATTAATTTTTATTGGTTTTATTTTTGACGAAAAACAAAATTTCTTCAGGTGAAACAGTTACAAAAGATGAACAAATTAATTTACAAGAAGCTGATGAAACACTTTCAACAACTCAATCAATGATGTCACTTTCAACTGCTACTTCATCAGTACTTAGTCCAGTATCATCAGTCACTACTACATTGGCTGTTGGTAATCCATTAGGTGGTCTTGATACTCGTTCAATCAATGTTGATGAGTGGGAGAAAGAACGAAGTGCACTTTACCAACAACTTGATGAAAAAGTAATTAATATTATTTCAAAAGATATTTCTTTTTACAGTATAAAATCAGAACTTATTGAATTTTTTTTAATAATCTTTCCTTGCACCAAGAAAAGAAAAAGAAAGATCACTTGCGGTAAATAGACTTTTAATAATCGTCGAAAACTATAGTAGTTTTCAATAATAAATTTTCTTATAAATCACAATGTTCATGCTTGTTTTTCTATAACTCTTTTCGAATTTTATTACAATTTGTAATATAACATGAAAACTGCTATGTCGATGTTTTTCAATAAGATCAATAAATTATGTTCGCTTGAGTCTCTATACTCACAAAAAAATATTCCTAAATGATAATCAAGTTTTGTAACTTATTCTTTTCTTATGAAGCTTTGTGCTACTAACTATTCCTTGTGAAGTCACAGAAACATTCTATAGAAGGTTTCATCTTGTCAAAGGATTTATAGCAAACGAATTCGAATCACGATATATTGACTTGTCGTTGTATTCATACATAAATCTAATGACACTTAGCATGTCATAAAAGTGTCAGCTTGAATGGATGAAGGGATAATGCATTCTCACCTCTTTTATGGAGTATATGTCCTTCTTTTTATATCTCTCCTTATGGATTTCTCCATTCGAATAGAAACTTTTTCGATTATACATATTAAGTACTATTTGATCCATCTATATATAAAATTTTGAAATCAACATATCGTAATTCACTTTTTTTTTTTTACTTTCTCTCTATATCTTATATTACAAGTTGAAATCAGAGTAAAATATCTTGAACACAACAAAATATTAGCTAGAAATTTGAGTATGCTCCCTCGTCAATCATAATCAAATATCCATGAGATTTCAATATATAAATCTATTTTTATACCGGAAGAAAAAGCTTAATGTGAATAACCTTGATGTTTGTTTCACATATGAGTTTGCCATCAGGGAAATCATTTGATCTAAATGTTGTCCGATACCTTTTGTCTGTTTAATTCTCTAACTAACCGATTCTCTTTTTTCTTCTATTTAGTATTTTATTGGATATTTGATGTGAATTGTTCTTTTGTGTTTTTGTTTAAAGGATGATGAAATAAATAATTTGGCTCAAACTATTGAACGATTTAAATTACAAACAAATGAACAAGATGAATTATTTAATCAAGCTCGAAAAGATAATGAAAATCTTCAAGCTGAATTAAATCGTTTACAACAAGAAAGTGAATCAGCTAAAGAAGAAGTTAAAGAAGTATTACAAGCACTTGAAGAACTTGCTGTTAATTATGATCAAAAAACTCAAGAAGTTGAAACAAAAAGTAAAGAAAATGAGACACTTGCACAAGAACTTGATGTCAAATTGGTTTGTTTTTGAAGATTTGTTTATGTGTTTTTTTTTTTCGGGAAAATATTCTTTTTTTTAAGTCTTCGTTAAATGGTATTCGTGAAGAATTAGAAAGTCTTCGTGAAGCATCACAACAACATCGTAAACGTTTTTTTGATATGATTCTTGTACTTTTACGTGATGTTGGTGATATTGGTACGATTGTGGGTGGACAAATGAATGAACAAAAGGTTTGCAAAATATAAAATTATTTTGAAATTTTAATTAAATTGTTAATGTTTTGGCTTTAGAAACCAACTATTGAAAATCTTGATCAAGCTGATGAAGAATTTACATTGGCACGTCTTTATTTAAATAAATTAAAAACAGAAGCACGAAGTATTAGTGCAGTATGTTGTTTAGAATTATTTGAAATTTTTCATAATAGAAAAATTTTCATTTTATTTAGCGTTTAAGTGAACTTGAATTAGAAAAAGTTGATCATCAAAAAGGAATTGGATTAAAAGATAAAGAACTTGATGAATCTCATCTTTTAATTCAACAACACGAAGCTAAAATGCGTTCAATGCTTGAATCAATAAAAGAATTAGAAGAGAAAAAACGTATACTTGAGCAGACACAAGATTTATTAAATGAAGAATTAGTTAAACTTCGTGCACAAGGTAAAAATTTTTGAAATTTCTTTTATCAAATCAAAAAATTTTTATATAAGAAAACTTTCCCAGGACCAAATCGGATGTGGGTCCTATGTTTTTCGACTTTCATCGGCCAAACAAAAGAATAAAAAGATATTAATGGTAAAACCAGAATTTTGAAAGAGAGATGATTTACCTCACTAATATCTGCGACTAGGGAAGAAAGTTTCAGTTTCTAGGTCAAGAAGTACAGACCGTTTCCGAAGCCCAAAATCATTGATATGTGTTGGTCATTTCTATTCTGGTAGAGGGACTCATGGCGAACTGTAGCTGGCACGTTCACTAGAACTACCATTGATATTTTATCTGACTTCTCAATAGCATCTTTACGTCTTGTATGAAACATAAATTCAATAGGATCGTTTTACTTGTCGCCTTCTACTGTACAAAATGATATCCATCATACATTTCGATCTGTTAACAGACAACAGAAAAAATACAAGTAGTACTTAAAGTTATAAGTACTTTCTGTGCTGGAGCACAGTTGTGTATTGAATGAAGTCTATATAAGAAAAATGTATATAAATATTTTGTAGGACCTGACGAGATATGTATAACTCAGTCTAGTCGATAGAGAACAGAAAAAGAATTATAATGAAAATACTTGAATTTAATCACAAGTACTTGCGCAAATTCTACGGCTCAGTACAGTAGAAGGGCACTCAATCTCCGCCAACCGGTCCTTGGCATGCTACGAAAACATGCTATTTAAGATGGACTTCGGAAAACGTTTTGTGATCATAACTGATTCTCCTCTTAGCGATCTCTTACATCCATTGCTGTATAGACTGAAGTTTCCATAAGAAAACAGTTAATTTTCGACAGAAATATCGAAATAATTCGAAGCAGGCACACAGCCAGGAATTCTTAGGAAGGGACGACCGTCATAGGAAAAAGGTGCGTTTTAGATTATAAAAACGAATCGGTTCGTACTCTCCTCCAGGTATTTCAATCTTTTTGGGGGAGATTGATCCCTCCAATCTCCCCTCTGACTGCGTTCCTGATTCGAAGTCTTATCTTTCACAAACGACATTGTTTACTGTCAAAATTTTTGATGATTTTCGTCACCTTCTGTTTGAAAAATATCCTTTTTATAATCTTACATCCTAGAATTCTTGAAGTAACTTCACTGTAGTCAACTGCGTTTTTGTTTCTTTGAAAAGTGCAAATGAAACTGTAGAATCCGCTATTTTATGATTATATAAAAAAGTACTTCTAGAGATAAATGCCATTTTTCGAGATATCAAACATGTCATCATCCTTTCTCTTCACATAAAAAGTAAGAATTTAAAGACAGTACTTTGTAGTTTGACATGCTCTTTAAAACACAAAAGAAAATGAAATCTATAGACTGAGAGTCCATAGAGAATTTTTGGTTGTCAAATGGGATAGAATTTGATCCTTATTAGTTGAATATATCTGTATTCAGACAATCTCTCTACTGAAATTCAATGTATCATAGCAAATGATTATCACTCTGTTAGAGATTTGTGCACTAGCACGCATGTCCATCCAGTATTGCGCAAAATTCAATGAAGAACGTCAAAGTAAACAAAAACGAGAGACTGACCCGCAGATCTCTTGTATATATGAATCTCAAAAAATCTTTCTCATGTTTCAGAGTAACAACGATCTCGTACCGATATTCTTAATACGGATCGTCTCTGTTTTAAATTGAAATTTTCAAAAATTCTAAAATGAATTTTTCTTTCAGGTCGAGTAGTTGGTTCATCATCTGATATTCAAAAAGAATTAAGTCAACAAATGGAACAAATAAGTGAAGAACATCAAAAACAATTAACAACGTTACGTGATGAAATACGTACAAAAGAAACACAAATGGAAGCATTAAAAGAGTAAAATTTTTGTAAACAAATTCAAACATAAAAAAAAATAAACGTGTCTATTTATTTAGTTCATTACAAAAATTACAATTATCATATGAAAAATTATCTGGTGATTATGAAAAATTGAAAAAAGAAGAAACAGATAAATCAAGTCGATTACAAGAAATGACGTACGTTTATAATTATAAAATAAAAATTAATATAAAACAACAAATTTTTTCTATTTTAGTTTACAACAAGAACGTCGTGAACAAGCTAAACAAGATTTAAAGGGTCTTGAAGAAACTGTTGCTAAAGAATTACAAACATTACATAATTTACGAAAATTATTTGTTCAAGATTTACAAGCACGTCTTAAAAAGGTTTTACTTTCATTGAATCTATCTCAACAAAAGATTATATGTAAAAAAAATTTTTTTTTTTTTTTTTAGTCACAAAAACAACCTGAAACAGAAGAAGATGATCTTGGTGGTAGTGTAGCACAAAAACAAAAAATCTCATTTTTAGAAAATAATCTCGATCAATTAACAAAAGTTCATAAACAAGTAATCCAAACATATTTTCAAAGTCTTTTTTATTTTAATATTAAAATATGAATATCTTTTAGCTTGTACGTGAAAATGCTGATCTTCGATGTGAATTACCAAAATTAGAAAAACGTCTTAAAGCTACAATGGATCGTGTTAAATCATTAGAACAAGCATTAAAAGAAGCAAAAGAAAGTGCTATGAAAGATCGTAAACGATACCAATGTGAAGTTGATCGAATTAAAGAAGCTGTAAGACAACGAAATCTGGCTCGACGTACAAATGCAGCTCAAATAGGTAAATCATTTTTTTTTCAAAGCACAGAGATGATTTCATTCTAATCTCTTCACGTTCTTGTTTGCATCATATAACGCTAATTATACTATACAAATTCTAAATCGAACGATATCAAAATCCCAGAGATAAAGTCAGTTTGATGTTTTGACGACCGGTATACTAGTCTGAATAAACTAAACTGACCTGGCTAAAAGGCCGATCTATTGTTGAACTTGTTGGCTTCCGAAACTTTCGCATCCGAACCCGATCGAACCGTATTTTGATATTTTCAACGAAATTTTCTAATCGAAATAGGATAGCCAGCCCAACGATATGGTATACTTTTTTTTTGGATTTATTGTATTCGGTGACTAGTACATCCTATACATTTCTGAAAACTATGTAGGGTAGAATCCATCGGGTACAAAATTTTCAGACCCGAATTTGATAGGCTCTATGACTGACAAAGCGATCTTCGATTCTTTCGTAAATAAATTATCTGTTGTATGACTTTAGTTTGTCTGTAAAATAATTTATTTTTCTCTTAGTAAAACCTATTCGAGCTGGTGTAAATCCATCAACTAATACTTCAACACCTATTCCAACAATTCGTGGTAGTGGTGGTCAATTAATGGATCAGTAATAAAATAGAAATTTTATTGCACATAGACATATAGACGTTTATTAATGCATTTTTTTTTTCTTTCGTATCTTCTGTCTACTTCTATTTATCGTAATTTTGTTTCGTTTGCAAATGTTTTGAACAATTTTGTTGTTTGTATTCGTACATCTTCTTTTTTTTCTTTTCTTTTAACGGCAAGCAAACAAAAAATATTTTATTTCATATGAGAATTTACGCATATATACTTTTACTTCTATAATAGCATAAACATTTGTTCCTTGTGTTTTGTTTTTTCGTCTCTTATATTCATTATCCGCTTAGCGAATATGGATAATTTCTCTTTTCTTTTCGTTTTTTTTTTTTTTTGAACAGTCCCATTATTGTGTGCCTGTCTCTAACCTTTTGTCCAACAGCATCAGTCTATGAGGAATCTGGAAATATTTTTTTTTCTTGTTCAAATATACCTGTGTGTATTCGTTTATTTATGGTGGCTGTTGTTTCGAATGTTTCAAGTTAGTGTTCATTCTTTTTCTTTTCTTTTTTGTTTACTTCATTTGACTCTCGTCTCTTCTCTCAAGCATTTTTATTATATATGACATAATCTTGCAATAGCGACTTTTGGAGCATATGTCATTTATTTGAGATATGTAATGAAAATACATAACTTCGTCGAGAGTACATACTCTTCAGTTTTAGCTTTATTTTTCTCAATTTTTTATGAATCAATTTTAATGTTTGATACAAAATAATGAAAATAGAAGGTAAGGAATTTGAATAGAAACCTGGATTGATGAATACTGAGTTCATATACGAACTTATTTTGTTGTATTATGTTTCACGATTACAATCGCATACCTTCGTGGATGTATATGGAATAAAAAGGATTGTATGTGGAGACTGTATAGGATACTAAGATATACGAGACGATGTTACTCGTCGTTTATAACTATGCCTGTTTAACCTAGGAATGACTCATGTTATTAGCTATTGATAATCATGAATATGATATATAAACTGATGATGTTGTTAATTCGATTGATTTCTGTATAGTGATATGTTTAATTCTAATTGTAAGAAGACATCTAAAACAACACTTTTAATATCATTGAATTGTTTATTCTCACATATGTGAGCAGTAAATTTAGAATCTAGTTGAGATTGAAATAATATTTTGTAATTTTGTAGTAAAAAAAAATATAACAGTAATATATTATTGAGTAAATGATCTCGAAAAATATGGTCAATACATAAATAAGAAAATGTGTTTATCGATAATTTGATTTACTTGACATTAGTATATTTTTCATGATGAGAATATGCAAAGATCATTACACTATTTTGTCAGTAATCGATTAATTGTATTTTTTTTCTGTTGAATTCAATGGTAATACAACAGATGAATCTTCCAACATTTGAATTCGATATAAAGATATGCATCAAAATAAGTTTATTCATTGACATAAAAAATAGAACTTAGTGCTTGCTCGAATGTAAGTAAATAGAAGTTTTAGACGCATACTCGAGCAAAAGGTCTGTTCAATTTTTTATATGAATGAATAAAACTATTTTCTTGCATTTCTTTAATTTTTTCCTTACATAAGGTTCAAGTGTCGGAAAGCTTATCTGTTGGTGTACTGAAGTGAATTTTTATCTTAATAATTTATTTGTAGATGAGAACATTGAATAAACATAAAAAACATTTATTTCTTCACTGAAATTTGACGCGAACAACAAACAAGCTGTTAGTGTAATCCCTGTTGGATTAAAATATGAAACACGATGTAGCTGCTATTGCTAATCACAGGGAGATTATTTTGAAAAACACATTTTTTTTAGCATTTTTCTACTTAATCCTCCAGAAATACAATGAAAAAACATTTCATGTATTAAAACATGACGTTATTAATATACGATCTTTAATTGCATATCGATACCTGCAATAATATTTTATGCAGGGAGGAGAGTTGGTTCAAATTTTTACCCCTATACTTCAACATATCTTTTTGATCATGTTTTAAAAGATAAATAAATGAATATAATTAGAAAACAAGTCATAATTAGTGTTTAATTCTTAAATATTTTATAGCAACGAACATCGATAAATAAGATTCAAATCATTCGTTTCGAAAATTGAATGCAATAACAAATATTAATGAGTCCATGACTCATACAATCAATATAATAGAATTGTCAAAAAAATAATTGACATATACAATAAGAGGAATTTTTTACTTTGTTTTTTTTTTAGTAAATCTAAAAACAATAAAAACAGAATACATTAGTTAACATTCTGTTTAGCTTCTTATTTTTCTTGATTGATCAGGCAAGATTATTTTTACATACACTGCAACTAAGATTCTTACACTGAATCTATTCTTGAAACTCTTGTCTAATCATTGTGATTCAAATGTACCATCTTTATGCTTCAATATGATTATTTACTGTCATTACTATTCTCTTTTTATCACAAACTTTCAGTAAAATACATTAAAAATAAAATAAAAAAACAAGACGTTCCATTTCACATAACATGCAAAAAGAAAACATCAAGAATAAAAACACGACACTATTTTATCATCAAACTATAAATCTAACAAGTTCTTCGTTGAGAAAAGAAATGATAGAAATAAATAATCAAAGCAAATTGTCTACATTTAAAATACATATCTTCATAATTCATCGTCTTTATCTTGATCATTTGAAACTGATAAATGTTCAATAATTATCGAAGTTTTTTGTTTTGCTAAAACTGCTGTTAATTAATTGTGTGAACATAATAAATTGATTCTTTAAAATGTTTTCTTTTTTTTAGAATAAATTAGAAAAAAATTCTTAAAATTTACAAGATAGACTCTACGATACGAGCTATATCTATGAAGAAATATTTAGTCGAATCGAATTTCGAAAATCTTCTACTTAAAAACCGATTTTCTCGAGATTCTATCAAATCTGAAAACAGATATTTTTATTTTACTATCATTTAGAAATTCTGAAGAAGGATTAATATAATAAAATTTGTTTACTTCTATATACCATATTAAAGAAACCGACCGAAAGCTCATTATAAATTATTGTTCTACTACATCATTATTTTTCTCTGATTCTCACACATTTATATTAATTTGAGTGCAACTTTCATCTTTTAACATATTGAAATAACCTGGGAATATAAGAGAAAGAAAATGAACTCTCTTCTACCATATGGTAATAATACGTTTGTCCAGGTGTAAAGTTCTAATTTTCACTTGAACACCCAATCACAATTCTATTGCTTTCATAATAGTCACTTCATTGATTTGCAACAAGTGAACTTCTAAATATATCTATACAAAGAATGATGTATTAAGAATCAGGTTATTTTCTTCTATCTATTCTAGAATTTTATTAAATCAAATAAAAAATTATCTCAGTTACAAGACTATTCATTTCAAAATCATTGTTTCTTCACATGTAAAAACAAGAGAGAAAAATCATTACTATATCTTCATAGTAAAACTGATTATAATCATCATATAATGACTTCTATCAAATGATATAGCAATAGTTATTCTTAATTCATGAATTAAGCTTTCGACAAAACTGTCTCGATCGTTTAATGTAAATTTCAAAGTCGACAAAACTTGAATTTATAGAACAAAAATTGACATGGAATACATAACTGATAAGACACGAAAACCAAATCAATTGATAAAGATAACGAAACAATTTTTAATTTCAACAGGAAACATAATATTGGATAGAAAACATTTGTTATAAGATCTCTATTGAAAATCATGTTCTAATCGAAATCCAAAAAGAGAGAATCATTTTATCAATAAGCCTCCAATAAAGAGAAAAACGTTGAATATTTGGTCGCCAATGAAAATCTTATTTCTCAATTTCATATTGATAGATTTCAATAAATAGTTACACATCTCAATTCACTTTCTTTAGAATATAATGTAAATGATGTTCACAGTTGTATCCAACCAAAAACAAATAGTTTTAATAAAACAAATTTTGTTATAGAATATTCTATCAATTTTATATATCTCATTTCATATTGTCTTTTTTTTTTACTAATGAAGACATACGCTTATTTTTTTTCCGATTAACACCATCTTTTCTGTCTATGAATAATTTCTCTCGAAACTTTCTATAAGACAAAACAAAAGTTCTTCGTTCTTCTTTGCATGACCGTTTTAACATCAATATAAGGAGAAAAATTCATGAAAAAAAAAAAAGGCAATACTATACTTCATGAACAAGAAAAGAAAATCTATACAATGAAAGAAAAGAAGAAATTCTATTGAATACAAAAGAAAAGACGAATGAAAGGATGCATCAATATAATATGTGACAAAAGAAAAGGAAAGTAACAATATAAATATATATATAGAGAGAGAGAGACGCGTAATAAATAAGAAAAAAACTATAACTACCTAACGTCAAGCTTAGTTCGATCCATCCTCGTTCTGATTCTGTTAATGGTAAGTTAACTCTATGTTCTTATGTCTATCATCAAGTTCTCCAAAACTTCTTGGTCATATAGTATGAATAGTTTATTATCTTATAATGAATTTTACAAGAATAGTCTTAATAAATATACATATTAATACTTATCAAGAATTACAATTATCAATGATCTTATTATATATAAAGATCAATAAATTTTACTCGTTACAATCGTATTAACAAAATAAAACCGTGAACAAGGATAATGATGCCAGTTTTTGTCTTCAATTTTCTAATGTTTAATCTAGCATGAATAGATAAGAGCATAAGAAGAAACTACAAGATAAAAAAAACAAAGATTTAACTTTGTTATATAATGAAAATTTACCTTGGGTAATCATATTATTTGTATCCAGCAACGTTCTTTTTTTATCATAAGACATTTTACTACATGTAATATTCTTACAATAATGACAGTAACAAATCGATTATTGAATTATTAACAAGGGAAAAAAAAATATTTTCATACTGATCTGTGCGTTTATCTTCTTTATGAATCAATAACGTAAAGATTCATGCGAACATTTGATACACATTATAATCCAGATGATGCATCTTTGCATCCATTATGGCTTGGTTCATTGATATTATTCTGTGTAATAATTATTCTTGGTACATTATGTTGTCTACGAATAAAATGTAGTTCATTATGGGGCAATTTATTCAATCGATCATTTAAGAGAAATAGTAAAAAACACGGTAAACAAGAGTTGTTTTAATAACAATAGTTGTTAGTGCAATCTCTATGGAATTCACAATGTAAAACACGATATAGATGTTATCCTTAATCACAGAGAGATTGTTTTGTTCTTTCTGTTTTGGGACACATTTCTTCGCCATATTTTTACTTAATTGTGTAGAAATACAATAAAGGAAGTAGTTCATATATTATAACGAGATAGTATTGATATACTATCACAGACCGTATACCAACAACGTCTGTTGAAGGAATCCAAATTCCCACCGTATACTTCTAAAGTACTTTTAAATCGTCTTTGAGAAAATGTGTGTGAATTGTTGTAATCTGAATTATTAGGAAAAATAAAGTTTTCGTTAAAGTCATTTTAGATTTTAATGTTGAACAACTGAGATATCTTCTCAATATTTTATTATGTTGAAAGCAAACAAATATTTATGTTAATGTCAGGTCACAATGCTTGTATATATAAACTAATTATTCTTTATTACATAAAATGAAAAACTTCATCGTATCTTTCGTTTGAAAATTAATCGATATCTTCACTTAATTAAATATTTCGTTTTTTTTTTCTAAAAAGATATTTTAATGCAAAAATTTATATTAAATTATTTGAAAAAGAAAAAAAATCTTGAGACATTCTTATTTTTGTTTATTTAAGACAATAACTCAAATGATGACAAACATGCAACAATTAGTCATTCCTATAATTGGTCACCTAGTTATACTCTATCAGAGCATGAACCACCAAAACTTTATACATTGATTCGAAATATTCAGATAAATAATTTGAACAAACATTTATCTATCAAACAACAACATAATGATAAAGATAAAGATGAAAATGAACCATATTCAATTGATGAATCTGATCATCATCAAGTATGAAATAAGATATAATTTTTTGAAAAGATTAGCAAAAAAAAAAAAAAAAACAAGAACTTATATGCTTTTATTAGGTATCTGTACTATCATCAGTTTATCATACTCGAAATCCTGAAATAGCTCGAAAATTTTATGCAAGTATGCGTAATACTAGTCAACATCCAAATTCTTCTTCATGTGATAGTTACAATAGTGATTCATCATTAACAAGTAATCATCCATCATCAATTGCAGTTCATTCAAATAAATGTAAACGAGAAGCAGATATAAAATTGTTACGTACACCATGTTTTTTTCAATCAATACCCTATACAGGTTTAAAATATTTTTTTTATTTACTAAAGAAAACAAAATATATTTCTTTTTAATTTGTTTTTTTTTTTTTTCTATTTCAGATGGATTAGCTTTAAGTCTGTAAAAATAAAAAAAAATTCTTCATTTCTTCTATTTCATTATGAAATACGACCATAGATCTTTCTGAATGATGTCTTATATCATTATAGCATGATACAAAAAAATAAAATCTCGAATAGGCCAGATTAGATTCTTCTATCATCATTTGTCATACAATGACGTATTTTCTATTTTTATTTTTCAAATTAATGAATTCAATATATTAATTGAATGCTGCCGGATATAATTATATATATATATATATATATATGTTTGTTTTTCGAGATATATTCTTGATTGATGTATATAGGTCATATCTCCAAATTATCAATAAAAAAAAAGAACACGAAAGCCACACAGACACACACTCACAGACAATATGAAAAATAATAATAATTGCACAGTAAGTGATAAACCAAGATAAGTCTTTATCTATAAGGAATATAAAACATAAAATACACAAACAGAAAAAAAAAAAAAAAAAGCAACAAATTTAAATAGTCATGTCAATTGTATTAACATCATTTTTAATAGATTGTTTATCATAAGTAATATCATTGTCGGATGTTTGTGATGAATTTCTTGTTGTTATTGTTTCATTTCGTACTTTAACAGTTATAACTTGAACACTTTGTTCCATAATTTTTTCACCTAATGTTGGATGATTGGAAAATTCAGATTTTGTAACAACTTTAAGTGTTGTTGTTTCATCGTCAGTTGTTGATGGATGATCATCATATGATTCTGTTATAAAACGACGTGATTGTTCACCATCACGTGATTCTGAATGAATTATTTCTGTATAAGTTACATTATGACTTGGTGATTTAGCGGATATAGTATTCATGTCCGTAAATGAAGCGATCGGTGGTGATGATGATTCGAAAAGAATTTTATTATGATTTTCAATTATTGAACTAGTTGATGTTGGTGTTTTCGATGATGATTCATTGTTTATTATTGATTCCTTTTCGATTTTATCCAACAATGTTGATATATCAAGTTTTGATGTTGGTAAAATTATATTTGATAGATCTGTTGGTGTTAATTCATCAAGTGATTTTTGTTGATTGAAATTATATTCATCTTTGTCAAGTTTTTCTTCTTTAGCGATAAAAGATTGTAGACGATTGTCGTCACTTAATTGTACTTGTTGTTGTAGAATTGATGATGTTGGTGATTCTTCATTTTGTCCAGCTAATGTAACGCCAAGTGGATAAGATGAATGTTGATTTATTGGAAGACTTTCTTTTGTTTCATGTATTTCTCCATGTTCTTTGACTTCTTTAACAATACGTTCAACATTAGTTATTTTTTCTAGCATATCAACATGTGTAGATAATACTGGATTACCAATTTCACTTTCAGTTGTTGTTTCAATAATATCTAACATTATTTCATTCATATCATCAATAGCATTAACTAGTTTTGGTTGAATATCAATTTGACTAATAGCTTGCTGTTCTTCATCATTAATATTTCTAATTACTTTTTTTTGATGATCCATTTCAGTTAAATTAATTGTATTATCTTCTGATGTTGATTTTGTAACGTTTGATGATGATTTTTTATTAATATGAATTTCTTGTGTAGGTTGAGAAGATACAGATGGTGATGTTTGATAAATAGCTTCAAGTCCTTTGAGAGCAGCATCAATTGAACGACGAAAATCATCACCAATTTCATATTCATCAAGTAATTTTGATGGTGGTGGTGGTGGTGGTGGTGGTGGAGGTGGCTGTGGTGTTGTAGAAAATTGTGATGAATTTTTTGTTACCAATTTTGGACGCATTTTAACTTCTGTAACAATAATTGAACGAAGAAGATTTCCATCGTGATTAAGAGCATCATCATTATCATCAATAATTTTCACAATATAACCACCACTTGGATTAGCAAATATAGCAGCTTGTTTACCCTTTTATTTTTTAATTGAAAAAAAAAATAAAATTATCAACAATATATATATATATATTTACTTTGTAAAATAAAATTCGTGCTTTTTCTAAAGCTTCTTTTAAATTAATACCAGGCTCTCCTGATGATGATATTTGACTATGTTTATTTTCGGATTTATTGGTATCATTAATTATCTAAAAAAAATAGAAATTGTTTTTATCCATAAGATATAGATTTTCTCATTTATTCGTACTTCGTCATTGGTTGTTCTCGTTTGTTGTTGGTTATTATCGAGTATAATCTGTCCATGACGTAATTTTTCTGCTGTTTGTTTTAGAACATCAATTGTATGTGCAATTTTTTTTGGCGATGCCAACGAAATTTCTTTTTGTACAAGTTTACTTAATTTATTTGTTGTTTTTATATCATGATGTTCAGAAAGTAGATCTAATGCTTTACTAACTATTGTACGATAATCATCAATGTCATTTGATTGTTGTTGTGCTGTTGAAATAATATCATTAAGTACATATTCATCAGCTTTTGGTCGATTAGATTTTAACCATGTACGAAAATTATCATTGATTAATTGTTGATTATTATCAGATACTGTTGTTGTTGTAGATGAATTTGAATTTTCTTTCGAACTTGTACAACCCATTTTTCGAATCGACAAAAGATCAATAATAATTACTCATCATTTTCGGCTTCTGTTTTTTTTTTCTCTTTCTTCTTAGCTTCTGTGTTTATTTGGATCCACACACACACACATATATATATATAGGGAGAGAGAGAGAGAGAGAAAGAGAGAGAGAGAAGGAAAAAAGTGCTTTTCTTTTACCGCGCCTCTGTCTTCCTCTTTCTATGTTCCAAGTTTACTTCTATGCAAAATAGTAACTACTATTAATGCCGTGCGGGCATGTTGCATGTGTATGCGCGTTCAATTATTCACTAAGGAAAAAAAAAAGAGACAAATCTAGATTCAGCAACAACACTTCTTTTTCCACAGTATATGATAGACGACGAGTTGAACCATTAGTCTGAGAAGAACGCAAACGTCCATACTTGATTCATTCTCTTTTTCTCTCGCTTTGTTATTATTCTATGTTGTTATTGTATGCTTTTTCTGTTTCTTTGATTCGATGTTACACCTTCTACAAAAGCATGGCCTGTATACGATACATTTCATAATGAATCCCAGTAAATCTTTGATGTTCTTTCTCTCTTTCCTGTACATGATTGCCGACATGCATGCATACAATAATAGCAAAAGCGCTAAAAAAAGAACACATATGATAATAACCCACATGTTGATAATGATAACTGTGACCAACAATGATCAATAATTATTCAAATTTTTTTTTTCTGTGTTATATTTATAATCATCTTTAGCCTTAAGTGATACCATCCATCTAGAATAATTTAGAAAGAAGAAAATTTGATAATTCTCCGATGTTTAACTCTCATGAGTAAACCTGCACAACTTCTCTAACGGATAAAAAAAAGTCAATTAATATGAGATGCTTTTCTAATACGTGTTGCATGCAAAATAAACTTAATATAATATTTTCTAAATAAATCTTAATTATAAACATACAGTGAAAAGCAAACATGTTGAAAAACAATGAGAAAAATATATTGAGCTTGAATAAATCACATTTCCGATGCAGAAAAATAAAAGCATATCAAAAATTTAATTTACTGAATACAGACTAATGAATATATACAACAACTGTTCCATAATTATCTACCATACATTGATACGATCACATGCATCTTTGATCTTATCGATTCATTCGTGAATCATCTTAGTTATACGATAGACTTGTTTGACTAATAATAAAAACTACTATTATATTCTATACAGTCACTAAGAGAGAAAAATTCTATAGGGATTTTAATAGAAAGCGACATTTTAATAAGTAATATGTTAATGTCATCTATCCATCTGTATTCGGAATGAGAAGGAAAAAAGAAGGACTTTCAGTTGAGTTAATCAATAAGACAAGCTAAGAAAAAAAAAGCAGCCGAGAAAAGCATATAAAAATTTCACATGAAAATTCAATGATCACGATGTATAGACAAGGCAATGTCTATTAATATTTTGTATTAATTATTCATATATGCATTGAATGTTATTGACGAACACACAAACAAACTTTTGTCTGAATAAAGAAAGTTCTCGAGTCATATTAGTTTGATTCATATCTACGAAAAAAAATATATTTATAAGACATTTATTTCTTAAAATGCATACTATCTAATAGAATATTAATCAGAACGTATGAATGACAAATCATTCTCGACATCACTTTGTATAATTTATGAGTCATAATCAATGTTTTTTCATTTATTCAAGGACAATTACTCAATCTTAAATAAAATACAAAATAAGAAAGGCATTCATTGAAAACAGAAACGAAGTCCGAATTTGTTGGTTATCGAATAAAAGCATTATTTTTCAACATTCAACACAAACTGATGACCTCATTTTTTATTTTTCTCTTTTGTTATACGAAAATAGGACATAGATATATGAAAGTTTGCTTATGTTATTACAGTATCTAAAGTGATAACAAAACTAAACACATAATTTCTATTTTGCATGATCATAAAAATGACAAAATTACCTATCCTTTTAAACGATAATAGATGACCGATAAAATATATATATATAATAAAATTTTAACACATAATTATCAATAGTGATGCAATTTTATGACAATTTTTAAAGTATTCATTAATTGTTCAACGATGAAACATTTCTTTTTTATCAATTCTATTATCAATTGATATAATATGATTGAATTTCGTTTTTCTTTTTTAACTTATTTTTTTTTTTTACTATGCATTCAATATCGCATCTCAATCTATCAATTGTGTGTTCAATAAAACACAATAATTATTACTAATTAGTTCGGAATACATTTATCAAAATCGCAAGTGTATGCTCCATGAAAACATCTCTATTTCTAGACCATAATAAGCTTATGATATTTACAAAGAAATAAAAATATATTATTTTTAGATTAAAATTCTTTGTATACTAGCTGGGAATCATTTATAAAAATCCATGCATAGCACATACAGTCATCGATAATATCGCTGAATCACGGTATCAAAGTA